TACATTTTTCACAAATACATTAGCCAAGCATGGTGGTACATGTCTGTAATCTCAGCACTTGGGAGGCTGAGGCAGGAAGATCATGAGTTCAAGGCCAGCCTGTGCTACATACTGAGATTTTTTTAACAAAAATACAATATACCATCATTAACCGTAGTCACTTGCTGTACAGTCTCTTGACACATACTCCTATCTGACGTAACTATGTGTCCTTAACACCGTAACTTTTAATGTTACTAAAATTAAGAGCTAAATTGCAAGCCTTTCTTCAGCCGGCTACTCAATCAATAAAGAACATATTTAAATGGAATAATAAGCTAATTACAGAGGTTATTATTTCACTCACATTTCACTACTGAGCCTACAATGAACGATACCTACCCTGAAGGCACTGAGGAGTTTCAAATCTTTTCCAATATGTCAAGTAGATGACAATAACACTAAACAAAATATATGGGCATGTTTGAAACGATTCAGCAACTGGGCTGAGCATGCTTTTACATGGGTCCACGCAGATGGCTAGCATCTTCACCAGCATCTTGGCAGGACGACATGAAAGTCGACTCCTCGTGTGGCAGCAAGGTAACAGTACACGCGCCTTCCTAGTTCCCTCTCTCAGCAAGGACAACCCTCTGCAGCTACATGCTGTTTTTTAAAGCACTGGCCTACATCAATTGTGAAAACAAAATAATTTACTTCTGTAAATGTGTACTTTCATGATCAACTCATATTATATTTGCTAGTTCAAAAAGAAATAACTTAAGTCTGAAAAATAAAAATGTCCAAGATGGTTCAAACTCACCTACCATTCTGTCAGAAATTTCTCAAGATGAGGGGCTGAGAGTGTAGCTCAGTGGAAGAGCAATATGCTTAGTGAGCCCAAGAACTGGTTTCAATCTTGAGGACCACGCCAGGTGTGGTGGTACATGCCTGTAATCCCAGCACACAGGAAGAAGAAGCTAGGAGGCTAGCCCGGGCTACCCAGAGAGTTCCAGGCTAGGGTAAACTACAGTGAGACTCAAAAAAGCAAAATAAAAAAATCTCTAGCACCAAACTCCAAAACAAAATTCTCACCATGAGTCAGCCTCAACAACCAATTTCGTTCATTACTCAGATTTTCAAAACAAATTTTCTCTGCTTTTTGTTTTTCCACAGTATAAGGAGCTCTCAAGAGTTTCTGTGTAAATTACCTTTTTTATACAAGTTTATTTGGAACATATTAACAAAACTAATATTCAAAGGCATTCTCATTTGATATTGTAAGAATACTTTGTAGGGCTGAAGGTGGCTCAAGTGGTAACAACACTTGCCTAGCAAGCATGAAGCCCTGAGTTCAAACCCCAGTGTCACCAAAGAAAACAAAAAATACTTGTAAAAACACTGAATCAACTAATTGTTTTGGACATTAGACGTGCTACTGCTTTATCCCAAGGAGTTCAACTCCAAAACCTAGAGCTCTCTAGATCCAATAGTTGCAAAGTCCCACTGAGCCTTCCCTCTTAATGGTTTTTATGTCTGTCTGCACCTTCACAGTCACTCCTGTAACCCTGGCCTGAGCAAACAACTGAAAACACTTTCTAAAGGCATCGACAACCCTTGCTCACCTGTTTCCAGCCTTTCTGTACCTCAAAGCCAGACCATTCTCCTAGGACACAGCTCTGACCTGGGACTCTAATTTTCAACACCCAACAGCTATGCCCTCCCTAAAAGCAAACATCCCACACTCCTGAGTTTGAGCTGATCTCCCTGAAGGATCTTAGCTTCTGAAGGAATTCCTACTGTGGTCACAAATTATTTGGATAGCCAAGAAAATCTCTTTCAACCTTAAAATTCTGTGATACTTATTCAACGTTACTTCTTAGTGCTTTCTGGAATAGTACTGGGATTTGAACTCAGGGCCTATACCTTGAACCACTCCGCCAGCCTGAGCTGGCTCTGAATCACCATTCTCCTGATCTCTGCCTCCCGAGTAGCTGGGATCACACCAGCACCTGGCTACCTAGTACTTTCATACTCATATTTACCCAATACTTCAAAAAGTTATTCCCTGGACATCCTTTCCCACCTGAAGGGCTTACCAGGGAGGTTGTTTCAGAGAAAATGTGCAGTTACTATTGTTTTTAGTACACAGGGAAAGAAGCTTTTATTACTTTGCCAAGTAAGAAATTTAAGTGGAAAGATTTAAAGATTCTATAATGAACACTTTTGAGTTTTGGTGTTACTGGGGTTTGAACTCAGGGCCTCATGCTTACCACGCAGCTCTCTACCATTTGAGCCACACCCCAAGCCCAGTGAACACCTTTTCATAGCCTGAATTTCCATATCTTAAATTTATCTAAAATAGGCATCATTCAGAGTAATACAAAATGCACTAAACTAAAATCTAATTTTATATCCAGTCACTGAAATTCAAAACTGACATTCTTTTCTTCTCCTAACTTTCCAATGTTGTTCCCACACTAGACAGCAAGAAAATAAAAACCTACCTACAAAAAGTACCTCAAAGGCCTGGCACCAGTAGCTCACACCTGTAATCCTAGCTACTTGGGAGGCTGAGATCGGGAGGATCTCAGTTTGAGGCCAGCCTGAGCAAATAGTTCCCAAGACCCCATCTCCGAAGTAACTAGAGCAAGAGAGACTGTAGGTATGGAGCATGTGGTGGAGGGCCTGCTTTGCAAGTGGGGAGCCCTGACTTCAAACCCCAGGCCCACCAAAAAAAGTAAAAGTCCTCAAAATCCTGTCCTGATGATATTTTTCTCAAAGATCAGCAAAAGATGAACATCAAGAGAAAAGGCACCTGCTTATTATCCACTATAGGAAATCCAGCAGAGCAGGGCCTACGTGTGAGGCCTCTGCTTTCATGGCACGTCAAGGACAGATCACCTATGTCAATTTGCATATTTTAATTCTTTCTTGGGTGTATTTTTCCAAGTCAGGGTGTAGCCACAATTTCCCCACCTCAATGCGGGGTGTGCTCAAATACATTAGGCTTTATAATTGAATGAGGCCATTCTTCTGTCTCTCTCTACTTCTAAAAAAGGTCCTGAAATGAACAGGAAAAAAAAGAAAACTTTCCCCTGAGCAGTGACCCTGGCCTATCACTAAAATCTCCTTTCCCGTGTTACCTCACAGCTTGGGAAGCACATGTGAACTTGGGGAGATAAAAGTCTGCCAGCACAGTGAACAAAACCAGTGATTTTAACCCGACTGCCATGGCCCTCAGTGAAGCTGCTTAAGGAAACATTGTCATCAGCGTTTCCCCCCCAAATAGGAACACTCCTCCTCAGAAGCCAAAATTACCTTCAGAAACTTCCTTCCTTCTCCTCTCCCTCCTTCCTTCTTCAACTTGGGCTGAAAGAACCATGATAAACCCCCTACCAAACCCTCAGCAGAGCCGGCGTTATCACCCGGGCCACAAATGACAAAGCTAAGACTCAAGTCTCTCCTTAACTCAAGAAGCACGAAGCAGCGGAGCCAGCATCACAGTTAGATTCACCTGACAACCGCAGCCACCATGTCCCAAAAGAGCAGGAACGATGACTGCTTCCACTGAAGGAAAACCTGACTGCAACTACTTCCCACTGTTACAAGGTATTATTCAAAAGTACTTTCTGCCCCTTTGTACGACTAATATGCTAATAAAAAAAGCAAAACAGTGAAAAATAATAACAAAGAACTTACTGAAAAATTTAAATTCTAACCTCAAATACTACCTCCCAACAATTTAAATGCCTTACTCTCAAAAGTTACAATATTTTTAAAAGCCCGATAAGCATAATCTACTGTAATGGTTATGGATTTCCATGTCAGCCCCAAAGACAAAATGCTAATCATTCAAAACATATTTTTAATCAAAAAGAAAATATCAGAAAGTCATTTCAGAATTTTTATCATAAATGAGTCAGAAATCCTTGGTTTTTAAGTGACATCCTGAGCATTGTGCAATACTGCCTACAATCCTAAGATTACCTTAGCCGGGCGCCATGGCTCACACCTGTAATCCTAGCTACTCAGGAGGCAGAGATCAGGAGGATCATGGTTCGAAGCCAGACCAGACAAATAGTTTATGAGACCCTATCTTGAAAAACCCTTCACAAAAAAAGGGCTGGTGGAGTGGCTCAAGGTGTAGTATATAGTTTCATTAATACTTAGTACTTTCAAAGACTTGTCATAGCCTTACTTCTTCTGAACTAGCTACCTTCGATTAATTCCAACATTGGTTTTACCTACAAAAGTAGAAAGACTATCAGCTAAGGAATTCTCAAAATACATCACAAATATTGCCAAACTCCACAAGAAAGAAACTCACACACACACACACACACACACACACACACACACACAAAACCAGACAGTATAGCCAGACGCTGTTGGCTCACATCTGTAATCCTAGCTACCTGGAGGCTGAGATTTGGAGGATCGAGGTCCAAGGCCAGCCTGGGCAAATAGTTTGCGAGACCCCCATCTCCAAAATAACCCGAGAAAAATGGACTGGAGGCGTGGCTCAGGTGATAGAGTGCCTGCTTTGTAATCACACAGCCCTGAGTTCAAACCCCAGTCCCATAAAAAAAAAAAAAGACAGCACATATTCATGTACACAGAGTTCACATCATTGAAATATCACTTCTAATACTACAATTCCTTTCTATTAGAGCAAAAGACGGATGTATATTTAAAATAAGCTATGCAAAAAGATGCAAAATAAGTAGAAACAATACTAGGCAAACTACAGTTAACGCTTTAATTTTCAATGCAAACAAAATTCATATTTTGACAGTAAGAAACCAGAGATACCAAACTCCTTCCAGGTATTCCTAAGTCTCCTAGATGGCCAGGAGCTGAGCGGTAACTTTAAGAACTGCACTCTGAAGGTTTCTATAGCTGGAAAAAAACACAGGTCCAGTTTACAAATGCTAGGACAGACAGATACCACCAGATCTGGGGAGGGAGGAAGCTGGTCTGCCAGTTTCCGCGTGTGCCACCCACCCCATCTTACACACCTTGCAGTGAGATATGAAGGTCGTCGATGCCCATGGAGGCCTCTTCAGGGGGAGGCTCAGGACTAGAGGCCATCCTTGAACTCCACAGCGATTATATCCTGTCCATTGCAGTCAAAGAAGTGAACTGAAAGTGAAAAGGGACAAATGATCATTAGTAACACCCCCTCTTGGCATTTCTGGTAAATATGCTTTTCCAGAAAAAGACTGCCTTCCAAAACAAGGATGGCTTTTCTGGTGAGCATTTCCTCGGTTCGTGCAGAACAAAGTAACTACGCCTTCTTTTTGAATCATGATCAAGATCGTGCCCTGTGACCTATTCGTGCTCTTTGGAGTTGCTGGCAGAACTCCAAAAGAACCAGCACTGTGGATTCTGTGCTAGCACTTCAACTCAGTCGCACAGGGGGCTTGACCTGGCACCTTGGGGGTCTGTGTGCTTGCTGCTAACCTTCAACTTGGAGGGTTTTCTTTAAAACTGTTTATTTCGTTCCTTTTCGGACCCACAAATGGTGCTACTTTCCAGAAACAGTAAGAGCTCAGGCTGAGCTTGCAAAGTGAAAGTAAAAAAACAAGGAGTTCGATGAGCTATCATTTTCTCAAGGACTTATTTTTCCACCCTACACGTTTTCTTTCTCCTTGAGTCTTTATTTTGGCGCCTGGGGATTGAACCCAGGGCCTCGTGCATGCTGTGGATGTGCTTTTTCTCTGAGCCACACAACAGTCCTTTCACCTGAGTCGCCCCTGCACCTTTGAAATTAAAGAATTCTTCCAATAAAAGCAATTCTTGGGCTGGTGGAGTGGCTCAAGTGGTACAAGTGGTAGAATGCCTGCTTAGTAAGTGTGAGGCCCTGAGTTCAAACACCCCCAAAAAAAGAATAGCCAAAAAACAGCAATTCTTCACTAATTAAAAAAATTAAATTGAATTTTAAAAGGCAATTCTTATTCCACCCGTTTAAAAAAGCATTGTGTCGTGTGTGTATGTGCCATTCGTGATTTATAGGACTGAGTATAAAACAGGGACTCCACTCACGCAGATAACCAGGTAACAGAATACACCTCACCCAACATGGGAACAGTGCTGCCGCTTTGTGACCAAGCAAGCACTGCAAAACAGTTAGCGTTTTATTTATGTGTACATGTGTCTATATTACATACTTTTCTTTTGTTTTGTGTTTGTGCTTTGAAACAGGATCTTGCCATGTATGCCGGCTGGCCTCAAACTTATAGTCCTCCTGCCTCAGCCTCCCAAGTGCTGGCATTACAGGTGTGTACCACCACACAAAGGAAGAGAAAGTTTTGTTAGAATCTTTGTGTCAGGCCCTGAGTTTGATCCCCAGTACTGTTAAAAAAAAAAAAAAGTGTGTGTAGGATAAACGAGTATGCACTGTAAAATCTAACTTTGCTCTATACTAAAAATTCTCCATGGTAAAAGGTTAGAGAGAAAACTTAACATGTCTGAGGCGAACAGCTAGATAATATCCATCATATTAAATATTAAACAGACTGCTTTAAAATATGCAAAGGATAAAAATCATTAAACAGTTCAAAAATCTTTCCATCCCTTCTTCCTCACTGTGTGTTATCCAAATCCCTCCTTTTATTATCTGTCCCATGGATCAGGGTTGTTAAAGATTTTACCTACCAAATAAACTGGATTAATAATTAATTTGTTTATCCTGGAATTAAGATGAATCAGACTCAGTCTGAGGAAACAGTACTGCTCTACTGAGTCAAGTCATCTAACAACAGGTAAGGCTGTTCACTAGTTCAGGGTCACAGCAGCCTGATGACTGAGAAAGACACAGAAGTCCTCAGTCTCGATCCATGGAGGCCCTCCACCACCCCTTCCCACCCCAGGGCTCCTAATCCCAAACTGGAAACAAAGTATTGCTTCATCTTGAGAGGAGAAAAGCTGAATTCTAGGATGAATCTCCTAAGGCACCCACTGTTCCATGTCAGGGCTAGTTTTTAACGAGGTGGGGAGGAATAATAACAAGAACACTAGCCACCTTTATAGCAATGTGTACATACAGTGACATGCACACGCACAGATATGTGCACTGTCATAAGCACTCTGCATTTGCAAAAACAAAACCAAGATGCACAAACAGGACGTCCAGCTGTCTAAGGGCATCCAGTTAACAAATGGTGGAGCCAAGATCTGAATGCAGGTGGTCTGGGGTTCAGAGTCTGTGCTCTGTTCCTCCCACAGCTCACTAAGACTTTGCTGCCTGTCATTTCTTCTTTCATTCATTTACTTGGCAAGTGCTTATATGGGTTAGACCCTGATCCCCAGGAATTCAATCTGAGAGTGCAATTCAACACAGTGTGAAGCAGGATCCTCTGAGGATGAGTGGAGAGTGCCCTGGCAGCAAAGGAAATGCAGGCCCCATCACTGAAGGTGGAGACAGAGGTGACCACTGGAGTGCGATGGGCTGGATTCATGTGCCCTTCAACAGTCCGAGGCTGGAATCCTCCCCTCAAGTGAGGGCATTAGGAGGTGGGGCCTTTGGGACGTGATGTGTGGTGAGGTGGAGCTCATGAATGGGCTCGGTGCCCTCAGAAAGAGGCCAGGGAGAGAACCCTCACTCCTTCCACCATGGCGGTTAGAGGAGGGAGACAGTGATCTAAGAGGAACTGGGCCCTCAACACCACCAAATCTGCCAGCACCTTGGACTTCTAAGCCTCCAGAACTATGAAATAAATGTCTGTTGTTTATACATGCACCCAGTTTCTGGCATTTTGTTATAGCAACCCAAAGTAACTAAGACAGGAGTGTCTTAATACAGCAGCACGCCACATCAAACTGTCTCATTCTCGTTAGCGTTATTTGGGTAACACCTTGAATTTGGTAAGAATGTCTCACGTTGTCATCCGATGTTAATCAGATGTAAGATATGAAATGTAGGGGAAAGAATTTATATTTCCATATTTATATTAAAAGTAAAAACAGAACAATAAATAAGTTAATAAACAGAGAGTCCAGGAATATTCCTATCCTAGACACATAGGGTTTGATTTTAACTGGAAAAATATATTAGCAAACACACTGATAAAATGTAATGATTTTTATTTCCTGGAGAACTTCTTAGAGCATCTAAAAAATATTCAACAAAAGTAAAAACCAAACTTTGAAGACTAACTGAGAGTGTTATTATCCCTAACACTGTCTCAGTACAGTTATTTATCAAAACTTGCTACAAAGGTCACAAGGAAGAGATTGGAGAGAATTCTTGATGACATTCCCAACTCAGTTGTATTTGGTGACAAACAGTGAGGATGGGTGACATTTCCAGAGAGGAATGCACTCATCAAATAGGCCCCATTAAGACTGGAACACAACAGAGAAGTAAAGCTTGAGTGATATCTTAGGATCTGAACTGGGAAGCTAGAAAGACCATGAAAATGGAACGCAGAAAGGTGGGTGTTTGGCCAAGAGTCACAAAGGTAACCAAATTCTCCAGGATATGCTGTAGCTGTTCTGATGCCCTTGAGAGGAGCACAGGGCTACCTCCTCGGGTGGAATCGCACAATGCTTTATTTTTCCTTTTCCAGTAAAAGTTACCACAATTATGTAGCAAATCCAGGGCTTAGAACTAAAATAAATGAGACAATTTTTTGCAGTACTGGGGCTTGAACTCAGGGCCTCTTGCTTGCTAGGCAGGCGCCCTACTGCTTGAGCTACTCTGCCAGCCCTTCCACACAGGGTTTCACATTTTTGCCCCAGAAGCAGCCTCGGGCTATGATTCTTCTACCTACCACTTCCCACATAGCTGGGACTGCAGATACAAACCACCACTCCCAGTTTATTTGCTGAGATGGACTTTCACTAACTTTTTGCCAGGGCTAGCCTCAAACCATGATCCTCCTGATCGCTGCCTCGTGAGTATAGATATTTGCCACTGCATCCAGAGAGACTATTCTTTGGGAACCTAACCCAAAGCTGGGTGAAGAATCCTGTACCATGGGCTTCAACAGCACATATGGCCCCGTGCAAGGATCACCCGGTGTGTCCCCAATGATGAGGATGGGGTCACAGGCAAAGAGCTCCCTTTGAGGTGAAAGGAAAGCAGTGTGCAGGAAGCAAAAGGTAAGAAGCTTCTGCTACAGAACCACATTGGGCAAAACTTCAGTAACAATAAAAAGAAATCGATGTGCCAGTTACATATGCAGAAAAGAATTAGTGTAGTGCCATTAAAGCTTCCAGGAGCAAATGGGATCGTGTGGACTGGTGCATTTAAATTCATGCAAGTTAACACTCATGCTTTTTTAAGTGCCATAAACTGTTTTGAAACAACTGTGGCTTGCTTATGCAATGCAACTTACCATGCCTGCGGTCTCTAAAACCTCAAAACGCTAGCGAATTTCCCCTTTTCAATGATTTACTTGGACGATTGCGATTGGAATGTTTTCAACAAAAAAAATCAAGTCTGAATACAAGTTATTCCAAAAAATGAGATTGAGGATGATTTATTTTCTTTTTGCTTGGCTGCATTTTTTTAATTTCAAATGATAAATGAATATTCCTTTTGCTTTTAAGGAAATGGAGAATGAGGTATTAGGTAATTCAGATCAGTTGTTCCACCTGTAGATGTTAGAACCCGTACATCTAGGTTCTCATAAAGAGAAAATGAAGCCGGCGCCAGTGGCTCACACCTGTAATCCTAGCTCTTTGGGAGGTTGAGATTAGAAGGATCACAGTTTGAAGTCAGCCTGGGCAAATAGTTTGTGAGACCCTATCTCCAAAATAACCAGAGCAAAATGGACTGGAAGTGTGGCTCAAGTGTTAGAGTGGCTGCTTTGCAAGTGTGACGCCCTGAGTTCAAACTCCAGTCCCACAAAACAGAGAGAGAGAGAGGGAGAGAAAACAACTGAATAAAAGTATTAGAAAAATCCTCTGAGTTCACCAAGAATTTCTAGAAAATACTCCCCCCAAAGCCTTTCTGGTAACTTGTGGGTCTTTCCTTTGCTAAGCATCCAGCAGCGGAAAAGTCCCAGTGTCAGGAGTGGCTGCCTTCTGGCCAGAGGAGGTGAGAGGGAGTCACAGCAGGAGTAGAGAGCAGCTCGCCCACTTCTTCGCCAGCAATTTCGAGGGAAGAGCCGGCTCCCTGGGGCCTCCTTTCTTTCTTCTCTTCCTCAGCTGCAGCACACTCGTGACTCGTGGACCTCCTGGGTACTGGGAAGGGTCTCCCCTCTGTCAGTCAAGTGCCAAAGCTGTTCCTGGCAACTGACAGTTACTGACTTTGACCTGCTTACAACTCACGTTGGAAGTCGGTGACACATTGACTGTCTTCACCTTCTTCCCAACAACTTCTCCTAACCCTGCTACCTACCTTGCAAGGGTGCAAGTTCCCAGGCCCTTTCAGTTGTTCCACCTGTAGACTGGTGGTTTTTAAGGTGATTTTTAAGGCCCACCGTTTTCTCTCCTCTCAGGCACTTTATTCTTAAAATAACCACCGCAAGCGGCCACAGCTATTAATCCGATGAATTCGTTACTCTATCAGAAAAGAAACGCAGTTCTCAGTGTGATGCTTCTGAACTTGTAACCTCGTGACAAAGCAGTGTCACTCATGGGTCAATACCAACCACCCACTTCCACCATGGCTGTAGCATCCTGCAGTCATGTACTCTGGCCTTCCCTTGGCCTTGACCAAGTCTGAATGGTTTAAACTGCAGTAAACACTGCTGTAGAATGGAAATGCTAACACTACTTTGCAGTACTGGGGCTTGATCTCAGGACCTTGTGCTACCTAGCAAGCACCCTGCCATTTGAGCCAACCCCTAGTACTTTTAGTTTCTTTGAGAAAAAGTCTCTAATTTTTGCCTAGAACCAGCCTCTGCTTCCAAACCTCAGAATAACTGCAAGTTATTGAGTTTGGTTCTGAGACAGGCTCTTGCTGATTTTTTGCCTGGGCTGGCCTTCAACCTCAATCCTCCAGTTTCTGTCACCTGAGTAGCTGGGATTATAAGTATAAGCCACCACACCTGGTTAAAAATAATAACACTTTTCTTACCCTGTGGTTGTTGGAATTCAACGATAAAACACATGAAATTAAACACTGCAAAAACAACTAGCATTTGTTCAGTGCTTGCTATAGAACACAAATATAAACAACATATATGTACAGTAGTTACTACAACCTGTGAAATTCACTTATTGAGATTATCCCACTTTTTTTTTTTTTTTGGTGGTATTGTGCTTGCTTCATGTGCTTAAAAGCTAGTTACCATACTAAAACAAAGAGTATGGGGGAAAAAAATCTTAGAGATGAAAATTTCCAAAGTCACAAAACTTGTGGGAAATTGACACAGACCCAAAAGCTCCCACAGATGCTCTCTGAGCCCACTTCCACTTGGTACCTGAAATCCCCAAAATTCAGAAAGACAGAAAGTAGAGTGGTGGCTACCACGGGCTGAGAGAAGTGGGAGTGGGGAGTTAACCGTTTTAATAACTCGTGTTAGGACATTCAATTTTTCAGGTTAGTGGAGTGGCTCAAGTGGTAGAGCCCCTGCGTAGCAAGCGTGAGGCTCTGAGTTCAAACTCTGGCAACACCAAAATAAATAAATAAAACTAACTTCAGTTTTGTAAGCTGAAAAGGGCTGTGGAGATGGATGGTGGCTGGTAATGGTTACGCCACAAGGTGAAGGTGCTTAGTTGGTACCACTGAACTGGACACTGAGCAATGGTTAAGCTGGTAAACTTTATGTTATGTGTATCTTACCAGAACTTCTTTAACGCTCTAAGAGAAACTTTTCTAATCTATAATGTATATCTAACTAAACTATGAAATGTTGGGTGGAAAAAAGTCATTTCCCGACATGTCTGACTCCAAAAAATGCCTGTCGTATGCATTCGCTTCTAGAGAGCTGCTGCAGAGGGAGTGGGGGATTACTTCAGCAAAATAAGCAAGTAAAACAAGGAGAAAAGGAAGCATTCCAACAAAGTAGAACACTGAGTCAAAGCCGGGACTGGGCCTCCAACCAGGAGAGGGTGACAGTAAGGGTGCTGGGGGAGGGGGAGTGGGAAGGAGGGAAGTGGGACCAGGCTGAACATGGCTGAGGACAAAGCCCTGGGCAGTACAGGGCACTCAGGAAATAAGCCAGGGGGCCTGAGGCTGTGGTCACAGATACCTGATGAGTGACTGTTAAGTTCCAGGTACAGGGCTCAGACACTTTTCAAAACTGTATCTCTGCATCACTCTAAGGAGAAGGTGTGGCTTGTCACAAGTGGGTGGCAGTGTCCTTCCTCGAGGACATGCTAGAAGTGCTGAAGGAGAGGAGAATGAAGGGCTGTCATCAGATGAGCTCATTTTTCTCAGGAAATGAAGGAGTGAGGTCATCTTGGGGAAGGGAAAGGCAGGATGCCTGAGAAATGAGTGATGCTCAGAACAGGCCGCAGAAGAGAGCAGGAACCAAATGGCCAGAGAGGCAGGGAGGACAGGGACACAGCTGCCCCGCGTGGAGTGACCCACAGGGCCTCTGGGCCCAGGCTGTTCTCTGGAGCGCTGGGCACAAAATTCCCATTGGCCTGGTGCTCAAGGAGGAGCCACTGTTGGTGACAGTAAAATTCTGTCCACTAGAAACATGCTCTGAAATCACACGTAACAAGAGGAAATATGTTCAAGGACGTTCGCGGTGAAGCTGTTTCTAACAGAAAAAGGAAAAACATTTAAGGCCATTGGTAAAGAATGGATAAGCTGGGGCTGACCTGCACAGCGGAAGACCAGCACACAGCCGAAATGAGTGAGCGGCCAGTGCCAACGGGGCTATGGTTATCAAAGTGAAAAAGAGGCGAGGACAAGAGGATTGACAGATTTTAATGCCATTGGGTACTTGATGCAATTTTACACATGCGCGTACCCTGCAGGAAAAGAACAGAAACACACAAGGACATGGCACTCACCAGCTTCAGAGAGTGTAGCGAAAAGGAACAGGAGGGTGAAACCGGCTACGCAGCTAACTTAGCTAACATCCAAGCAGGGAGCAAGTAGGACATTAGTCCTACTATTTCCATTTTTATAACTTTAGTCCGGGCATGGTAGTGCTTCTCTGTAATCCCAGCTACTCAGGAGACAGAGGCAGGAGGATGGCAAGCCAGAAGCTAGCCCAGGCATAGCAAGACCTGTCTTTTTTTTGGGGGGTGGGTGCTGGGGTTTGAAGTCAGGGTCTTACTAGGCAAGCACCCTACTGCTTGAACCATGCCCTCCAGTCATTTATGCGTTAGGTTTTTTGTTTTGTTTTTCCAGATAGGGTCTCAATTTTTTCCCAGGCCACAATGGGACTGAGATACTCCTACCTCTGCCTCCTGCATAGCTGGGATTATAGACATACACCATGTCTAGTCTTTTTGTTGAGATGGGGGGCGGGGTCTCACTTACATTTTGCCTGGGCTTGCCTCAAACCACGATCCTCCCTCCTGAGTAGCTGGGATTAAAAGCACAAGCCAGGGTGCCCAGCCTCATGGATTAAAAAAACTAAATAAATAAAAACAAAAGGGCTGGGGGAATAGCTCAAGCAGTAGAGCACTGGCCCTTGGCTCAATTCCCAGTACCACACACACAAAAGATCAACTTTAGAATTTAACAGAATTAATCATTACTCCCATCTTTTCATGAAGTTAGAGAAGTGAGAGGAACCAGTTGAAAGAGCACTAGTCCAAAGACAGGCTGTGCTTCTTGCTGCCCCCAACCACGGGCCTTGGGCCATCAGGAGTTCCCGAGGCCCTGATTTGATTTTGTCGAGGCCAACTCCGACTTCCAGATTCCTGCCAAAGAGTCAACCCAAGGTTCCCTCCTGCGCATTTGGAAACCCCAGATCACTGCAACACTGTTCACGCCCAACGCTGAAACGCGGGCCAGCCTTCCTGGATGTGGTCTTTGGAAACTGCTCAGCACTGCTCTGTCCCAAGGGTGGCCTTGATGGAAACGGACTCGAGTGGAGCACTGCAGGGAAGGCCAGAAGCCTCTGCTGTTCTCTGTACACAGATCTGGGGACACGGCCCCCAGCCACACCACATTCCTTATATGACAATGTGCTGTGACAAACTCCCTCACGTCTCAGGGCCAAGGACAACCATGGTCCCCAGATGAACCCTCCTAATCTCAGGACTCTGTGCTTTAGGGACAAGCCTCCCTGCCTTAGTTGGCTGCTATTGCCTTCTCCAGCAGCTACGCACAACTTTATGGAAAATATGTGGCTTTATCCACCTCGCCTAATTTTGCCCCTACTCCAGTGGCCTCATCTATTTTTCACTCTGCTGAATTTTTCTCTCTAAATGACTTCCAGGTTCCTCTGGAATAAGAAAGGGCACAAATAAACTACCCCACAGATTCTGTGAGGACTGGATCACACAGGCAAGGCGTTGCAATGACAGACGGAGATACGAATGGAGATCGTTATTCATGGGGGAGCAATTTGGTAGCGGAAAATGGGAGCTTATAAGCCTTCCAAGAAATAAGATAATTTTAATATTTCTCAGTGACAAGTCACTTGAGGCCCCGAGAAAGAGGAGACCTAAACTGTGGACAGGAAAGTGTCCCCACATACGCCCATGAGTAACTGTCACCTACTCTACCATTCTGCCAGGCCCTGTTTGTTCCACCCCATCACTCTTAGACTAAGTGCATGTCACCTCCACAGCTGTCACACAAAGACCTGAAGCAACGGACTCACAGCACTTCCTGTGTGGCCTGGAAGAGATGGGAGAGCTTAAAACACTGACTCATTATCCATAAGAAAATGTATTCCTAAGAACGCTTCTGGCTCGAGATGCGTTGCTTTGTCTTGTTAGTTTTGGGTTTTCTGTTTTGTTTTGTTGTGTTGTGTTGTGTTGTGTTGTGTTGGCAGTACTGGGGATTGAACTCAGTTTAAGTAACAAACAATAGTTGGATATATTAATTGGGTACAGTACACATATATAACATGGAGTGACTAGATCAGGTTGATTAACATCTGTGTCCCCGAATACCTCTCATTTCTTTGTGGCAAGAACACTATAGCACTGAAGTACCGCCATGCCCAGCTGCAATGTGTTTTTATCTGTCTCTCTAACCTAACTCCTTTATGTTCAGTTCCAGCAGGGCAAACACAAATTGAATATTCCATAAAATGTCAGCACACTAACATGACATGTTACATACACCTTCAAAATGAGGCTAAAACCAGCTTTTCACTCAGCAAGCTGACTTTAGATAAACTGGCCGTAGAACAGATCACTTATTTCCGGGCTCCACAGCCAGGAGCCACCTCAGGCCTGGATCCCAGCTAATCCTAAATGCCTAGTTCATATCAGTTCTTCCTTGGCATTTTAAGCTGATACACCATAGGCATCCTGGCATCAACTTGGAGGCTGCGTGACAAGCTAAGTAACACGAAAAAGCCCACTCCTCCCTTGGGTGCTCCCACTCGCGCCCACCCTGGCCCTGGGGGCAGATCCTTCGTCATCTGCAGAGTCCAGGCAGTTAATTCTCTGAGAAGAGGCTATGTTTGTTCACTGCT